CTCAAATGCTCCATTCTACTCTCAATACAAATATTAATCTCATTGGTCAGGTAGGACAGTTCTTATTTGTGAGTGACAGTCCTCCTGGAAATCAGTGGCTGAAACAACTAGGTGGTTTATCTTTCTCACATAACAAGAAGCCCAGGGATGCAGGTTGGGATGGGATGGGTCCTGGGCAGTCCTCTGCCTGTTCCACCTCCTTTAGCACTCAGCACTCTCTCTCCTTACAGCAGGATGGCCACTGTGTGACCAAGAAGGATGAATGGTGAAGGGCAAAGGCCTTTTCTTTTATTAGGTTTTGTCTCATTTACATGAAAATAATCCCAGGAGGTTTTTCCCAATTAGCTACACATTTTAATAATGTAATTTTGATAAGGATATTAGAGGGGCAGTGAGGTGGCTCAGTCAAGCGTCAGACTCTTGATTTTGGTTCAGGGCAACATCCCAGGGTTGTGGGATTGAGACCTGTGTCAGCTCTGCAGTGAGCATGGAGCCTGCTTAAGATCCCTCTGCCCCAGTCCCCCACTTGCATGTACTCTCTCTCAAATAAATTAACTAATTAATTAAAGATACTGGGGACTTTTCAAACTACATAGTCACACCTAAATAACAGAAGGTAAAAGAAAAAGATGGTAAACATTTCGCAGACCAAATTTAAATATACCCGTTATTAATATTAAATGACAAGGTAGTCAAGGATAACTGTGGGATGAAAGAGATTTTATCAGCAGACTTTGTTCTTTATCCGGAGGGTATAATATTGCATGCAACCCATGACCAGTATGATATGTGTTCCAAATAAGTCAAAAGTTATTAGTCCTCAGTGTTTTCTCATAGATTTCCTTTGAATTTAAGTTGATTTTATTTACCTGAATGTAAAACTAATTTGCCAAGTTTCATTACAGATATTCTGATTCTAGTACCTTTTTAAAAGGTTGTTTAAAGTTTGTTCATTTTTCCATGCTCAGTGTGGAGTAAGACCTGGGACTCCATCCCACGAACCATGAGATCATGTCCTGAGACAAAAATCAAGAGTTTGATGCTTAGCCACCCAGGCACTCCCTGTCTAGTGTCTTGGTAGAAAAATGGAAGGACTGATTTTGAGATTCCATTCATTCTAGTCTCCCTTAAAGTGAGAGATCTATAAAAGGCTTGTAGTTGGGAAATATTCTCTCACTTCTGAGTCTGTATTAATATTAGACTGTAACTTAATAGAAAAAGAATCATGACATCACAAGTCTAAAAATATCTTTGGTAATTTGTCTAAACAGTATTTCACAACCATTTTCCACAATCATATTGTGCAGTAGACGGTATGTGTGCATCAGGAAAAAGAAGTTGGTAGTTAGCATGAGGAAGATTGTGGTCTTTCCCAACCAAGAGAGTCAGAAGTAAACATTCAGTTTTATACTGAAGAGTCTGACTCTACTCTTGATGCCCGACTAATGGTACCCGTGAAGCATCATTACCTCTTACTATTCTGCTCATCTGGGCAGGGCAAGGTAATAATAAAGCCCGAGAGGCCCATCCCTTGGCAGTAGTTCTAAGTTCACAGTGTCAATGAGTACCATCACCCTGGCCCCACACAGGATGCATCATAACAAAGTAGTCACCATTCCCTGCTTTCTCCAGCCATTTTCAGAACTTGAAAAGTCTACCCTGCTCTCCCGAGAAAGCATCATTATGTAATAAATATTCTGTGAACACTTAATTGTAGGGAGTCATCAATTCTTTACATCCAAACATCCTGTTCCAGTGGAGTAAGCACAAGTGCAAACGAGCAAAAAATGTTTCAGAGGGTAAATATGTGAGATTTCTAGTTATCAAAAGATTCCCATTGTGTATGTTCATTCTTGAGAGTAAATTCGTGATTTATCTTTTCAAATTATGTCCCTGAGTACTCCAGCACAAAATATAGATTGTGCCTTTACCCTTACTTCTTACAGTATCTTCTTACTTCTTCTGACTTCCTACAGTATCTTTACCCTTACTTCTTAATTTTTCTATTTCCCAATACTTTTCATATGCCTGCTACTTTTCTACGTTCATTTAATGTTAATGGTACAACACATGGGCCTCATTTCAGCACAAAAGCGTGCAGAAATATAATCATATGGAGTATATTCATGAATAGGAGGCAGACTTTAGAGGGTGAGAGTTTGAGATTGCATTGCTATGGTATTTTCACTACAGCCACAAAAATAATATGAGATATACTATGGAGTATGTAACTCAAATTCAACTTATGAATATGTATTTCCAAAACTTAGGTTTGAATCTAACATGAAAAAAAAATTGTTGTGGATGACATTCAACCTAGAGAGCACAAGGATGTATTATTAGTGTTCATTATGAAATGCCCCAATGAAGTGTGATGCACCTGGGCTAATAAAAGGCACATGATTTACTTAGGGTTACACAAAAGCTCATACTCATATTTTAGTTACTTAGATATGAGAAATAAGATATCCTAAATCAAATGGTATCAAAATGCAATTTCAGTGGCCAAATTTGAGACCTTCACAAGCATACTACTTTTGCGCTTATCTTTCTTTCTTTCCTTCTTTCTTTTTTTTAGAGAGAGCATGAGTAGGCAAGAGGGGCTGAGAGAGAGAATCTTAAGCAGGATCTACACTCAGCAGAGAGCCCAATGTAGAGGCTGATCCCAAAACCTTGAGCTGAAATGGAGTCAGACACAACATAATGAGCCACCTATGCACGCCTACTTTGGTTCTTTTGATTAAAATGTTCTCTACAACTTTCTCTTCAGTTTCCAAAAATAAGAGTAATTTTTATTCATCCATGAAATACAACTATTACCTTTCAAAAGAGGGAGAGACCATCATTCCCCCTCCATTTTCTCTATCCAAATGCCATCCCTAGTAACCTATCATTGCCACATGAAACTGTAATTCTTTCAATTCCCCAACCTACTGTTTCATGATGATCTGACAGAGTAATCCTTTCCTATAATAATCAACAAAGGCTCTCAATCATATCAACAAATCTAGAGAAATACTCGTGACCATAGAAAACATGGAAAATTAGATAATAGTTTTAGATCTATTCCCTGCCACTTCCCATTGTCTCAGATTTATACAATAATGTATCTTAAAATTAGCATCCTATTTTTCCAGGGCATATAGCTATGACTAAGCCCCACCTAATGAAATAGGTTCCTTTAACCTTACCGATGCTTTCTCTGAGACCACTATGGTTGACAAGTGAAATGTATTTAGTAAGAGTATAACATCAGTGGATTCCAAACTTGAGGTTATGAGTCATCAATAATAACGTAGCCTCAAGAAACCTTAAATAATTGAGTAAAAAGCAGCTATAGTGGTGTCTTTCTGGCTCAGTCGGAACAACATGGGACTTCATCTTGGGGTTGTGAGTTTGAGCTCCACGTTGGGTATAGACAGGAAAATAAAATCTTAAAAAAATTTAAACAGAAGATGATTAGGTCTTTCTATAGATATACTTATTCCATTGAAACACATTAAATAATTTTAATTTTCTGTGGAATTTAACACCTAAGATTGGCTAATCCTCCAAATAGACCTAGTTCCCCCTAGTGTGAATTTTCGTATTGTAGTCCACTGAGAATTGGCTAAACAATTATCACCTTCATTACACATGTAATGTTTCTGTCCAGTATAAATTCTGTGTTTCCTGAGGTAAATATCTTGACACATTTGTATGATTTTCATGTGAATTCTTTCAAGACCACACATTTTTTTAATTACTGGAAGTCTGTACCTCTTAATCCCATTTGCCTATTTTAACCCCCTCCCCAAAGTTGTACATTTTTAAAAGTCTGATCACACTCATTACATTTGTAAGGTTTCTCTCCAGAAAGATGTTCCACAAGGTATAAGCTTTGGATAAGCCTTGCCATACATTCCATTTGTGTGCTTTCAGAGATTTATATTCTGATATCAAGTGAGATGTGAGCCCTGGTTACAAGCATTGCCACATACATTAGTTTCATATGGTTCCTCTCCAGGATGGAATCTCTGATGTTGAGTAAGGCTTGATCACTTGCTTATTTTATTTGCAAGGTTTCTTTCCACTTTGAGTTCTTTCATGACACCCAAAGCTTAAACTGTGAATAAAAGCACCACCACACATGATATAGTTTATACTCTTTCTTTTCACATGTATTTTCTGATGCCTCGTAAAAGCTTTGCCACACTCATTACATTCATAAGGTTTCTCTCCAGTATGGATTTTCTTATGCTGAGCAAGATGCTCGTACAGGCTTTGCCACGCTCGTTACATTTGTTTCTCTCCACTATGAGTCCTCTCATGACCCCAAAGGTCTGAACGTTTACTAAAAGTCTTATCACATTTATTACATTTATAAGGCTTTTCTCCTGTATGAATTCTCTGATGTCTCATAAGGCTTGTACTTTCGGTAAAAGCCTTGTCACACACATTACATTTGTATGGTTTCTCCCCAGTGTGTATTTTCTGATGCCTAGTAAGATTTGCAAATTGGGTAAATGCTTTGCCACACTCCTTACATTTGTAAGGTTTCTCTCCAGTATGGATTTTTCTATGTTGAGTAAGATGTGAACGCTCAGCAAAGGCTTTGCCACACTCACTACATTTGTAAGGTTTCTCCCCAGTATGAGTTCTCTCATGACCCCAAAGGTGTGAATGTTTGATAAAAGCCTTATCACATTTATTACATTTATAAGGTTTTTCTCCTGTATGAATTCTCTGATGTGCCATAAGGCTTGAACTTCGAGTAAAAGCTTTGTCACACACATTACATTTGTGTGGTTTCTCTCCAGTGTGTGTTTTCTGATGCCTAGCAAGGTTTCCAAATTGGGTAAATGCTTTGCCACACTCGTTACATTTGTGAGGTTTCTCTCCAGTATGGATTTTTCTATGATGAATAAGATTTGAACGGTCCGTAAAAGCTTTGCCACAGTCATTACATTTGTAAGGTCTCTGTCCAGAATGAATTCTCTCATGACTCATGAGGTTTGCACTTTTGCTAAAAGCCTTCCCACAGTCATTACATTTGTAAGAAATTCCTCTAGTGTATGCTCTCCTGTATTGTGCAGGTAACAAAGGATACTTAAAAACCTTCCTGTATTTGTTCCAAATGTTTTTGGTACTGGGAGGAATTCTTTGAAGTGGTGAGACTGAGGAACCACTGTTGACAGACTTCTCAGTCAGATTACAGTCACACATTTTCTCCTCATTGTGAAATCTCTGCAGTTCAGCCAGATGTGCCTGCAAACTTAATCCAATTCTATTTTCCATGCAGTTTATGTACTGGTTTCCAGCACCACTTCTGTTATTGTCCATTTTTAGCAAATTCCTCATAAATGGCTCATCATCCATGAAATACTGGTATGTATTATTTCTTACAGAAACACTCTGCTTTTCAGGAAGAGTAACTGAGGTCTGATTAAGTTGCTGGTCTTTTCTACAAGTGAGATTTTTGTTATGGGACAAAGGCACTTCTTTGTAATTTCTTGCATCATATCCCCACTGACTCTCAAACTCATGCATATTTTCGCAGGATTCCTGGAGATCAAAATCCTTGATTCCATAACTTTCATTTCTCTCCAATATCACTAAGTGGTAAAATTCGCCTTTATTAATGTCCTCTGTTGGTGATAATTCCTTGATTGCAAATCCATCAGAAGGGATTCCTATCAAATAGAGATGGAAGATAAATCTTTTATACTGAATTACATAATTACACACCAAAATAATACTTTATACTGAACACAGGAAGTTTCTCAAGTATGGTATTCAAACAATATTGTAATATACAATGTTTGTAAGTTTTCTTTTTATAAATGTTTCCATATCAATAATTTCTCTAATTTTAAGGTAATTTTTCCAAACACACATTAGACACTATACATATTTTTTGCCCATGTAACTGGATAATGAAATGAAACTTCATAATTAGCTCATCCATACACTGGCTATTATATAAGTGTGCATGAAATCATACAGATGTCTATCTTCCTTAATTCTTAATCTTTATAAAAATGTGTTTACCTGAACACAGTATTTCATAATTCAGTGATTCTCAACATATCTTTCATTTTTCCTACTGTGTGTTCCTTATGGAATGTAAATTCTGTCTTTAGTTCTCAAGGAAGAATTGTTTAGAATTCCAGAGAATATTATTTTCTGTAAATGTGGTTACTTATTAACTTAACCTGCTAGATCAATTTTTAGATTGTAATATACGGATTTGTTAAAAGACCTTGTTTCCTTCATCATATCCTCATACATTATTAAACACACATTATTATTAAACACCAAATCAAGCTGCTCTCCTGAGCAATATGTACTGTTTATGAATAGGGGTCTTTCTACAGTGTGGGGAGGGGCAGGACATGTGGACACCGAGGTGCTTTGGTGCTCAAAATTAATATACCAGGAGATACCAGTATAGTTTGTTTAGCTCAATGAAAAGTCTGAGCAAAGGCCAGGACCTGGATTCAGAAAAGCAAGAGTGAAACACAAGGAGTAACGGGCAACGTGGGAATGCTGCCTGTGCTTGCACATCTAAGGGAATATGATTGTGCTGTAAGTTAAACACCTGACCTTGGAAAAGGTCAAAACAAGTTAACTGACTGCCTGAATGCTTAAGGATTATTTTAGGTATGCAGAATACTGGTTCTCTTCCAAGAACTACTGAACCAAAAGCACAAGTGCAAAACCACAGAATCAGTTATTTATGAAAATTCACCATAATGTTTCCTTCTTTTCCCCAACTTTAAATAACCTTATTGTCTCTGAGCCTTATCTTTAAAGATGTCAGTGAAATTTGACTTTGCTAAGAATTTAAGGGTTTTAAATCCTATTCTCCCAACTCCCAGATTTTTTTATTTAAATTCTACTTAGTTAATATATAGTGTAATATTGGTTTCAGGAGAATTTAGTAATTCGTCACTTACATATAACACCCAGTGCTCCTCATCACCAGTTCCCTACCTTAAGCTTTTCTGACTACTAATGTTCTGCAAATACCTAAACAAGCAGGAATGCAGAATTTCTGAAGAAAAGGGAAGTTAGAGTCCATTTGCCACATTATGATGCCTTTCCATTCTCAATCAAAACAGCTGCAATCATTCTCTTAAGAATAGGGATTTGAAACTCTTATGATCATGTCAGGGGCTCTCAATAGAAAATGCAAAGACATAAAAAGTTAATTACCAACTTCTGGAGAGAAGTTATCCTCACCCAGGGAGACCAGGTTCCTGTAGTTCTCCAACATCACGTCCCTGTACAAGGCCCTCTGAGCAGGGTCCAGGCACTCCCACTCCTCCTGAGAGAATTCTATGGCCACATCCCTGAATGTCAACCGCCCCTGAAAGGAAAACACATTTCAGCAAGTGGACAGGGAAAGTGTTCTTATTTGACACAAAACAAGAGAAGCACAGATGTGTAAAGACTGACTTGGCTGGAGTGAGTGCTCTTTGATCCATGCAATATAATTTTGAGCAAGTGACACTTAACATAAAATTAGCATTTAAAAGTACCATTCGGGGGCATTTAGTGCACTCACAAACATCACCTCTGTCTAGATCCAAAACATTTTTATCAGCCCCAATCCTTTACCCATTAAGCAGGTGCTTCCTATTCCCCAGTCCATGGCAACCACTAATGAATGGTTTGTCTCTATGGATTTACCGATTTTGGATCTTTTCATGTAAATGGAATGGCATCAAAAATGTGACCTTTTGCGTCTGCCTTCTTTCACTCAGAATAATGTTTGAGGTTCATCCATGATATAGTATGTATCAGTGGTACATTTCCTCTCTTCTGGCTGCAGAGTGTTCCACTGCAGGACTAGACCATATTCACTCAACTACTGATGGGCATTTGGTTGTTATCACCTTTGGCTAATATTAGTAACTTGCCATGAATTTTGTAGTACAAGTAAGTGTTTGCATACCTGTTTTCAATTCTTTTGGTTATTTCCTAGGAGTGGAATTACTGGGTCACATGGTTAATTTTTTAAGAATCTGCCACAGTCTTTTCCACAACACCTACACCCTTTTCACAGTAATGTGTCATGAGTCTACATTCTCCACATCTTTACCAACATTTTGTTGTTGTTGTTGTTCTTTTACAGTAGTCATCCTAGTGGGTGTGAAATGGTCTCACTGTGGTTTTGATTTTGCATTTTATTAATGACTACTTTCATCAAACATCTCTTCATGTGCTTGTTTCAATTGTGTATCTTGTATGGAGAAATGTCTATTAAAATGCTTCGACCACTTATAAGTTGGGTTTTTGTGTTTTGGTTGTTGATTTCTTTTTTTTTTTTTTTTTTTTTTTTTTAATTTTTTTTTCAACGTTTATTTATTTTTGGGACAGAGAGAGACAGAGCATGAACGGGGGAGGGGCAGAGAGAGAGAGGGAGACACAGAATCGGAAACAGGCTCCAGGCTCTGAGCCATCAGCCCAGAGCCCGACGCGGGGCTCGAACTCACGGACTGCGAGATCGTGACCTGGCTGAAGTCGGACGCTTAACCGACTGCGCCACCCAGGCGCCCCTGGTTGTTGATTTCTATAAGTTCTTCATACATTCTAAGTTCTAGACCCTTAGTAGATATGTGATTAGCAAATTATTTCCTCCCATTTCCTCACCTATGTGATAATGTCCTTCAGTGCACAGACATAATTAATTCTGATGATGACCAATTTATCTACTTTGTCTTTTTCTCTTTTGATTTGGGATCATGTATAAAAATCCACTGCCAACGCTCAGGTCATGAAAATTTACCCCTATGTTTTCACCTAAGACTTTTATACTTGTAGCTCTTACACACAGTCTTTTGATTAATTCTGAATTGATTTCTTTACATAAGGCAGTTTCAATTTCATTCTCACACGGATATCTAGTTGTGCCAGCATCATTTAAGAGACTGTCCTTGTCCACTGTTTTTGGCACTACTGTAAAAAAGGAATGGGTTACAGATGTATGGGTTTATTTTGTGGAAGTTCAGTTCTATCACTGTGATCTGTATTTCTAGCCTCTGCTGGAATTACACTTTTGATTACTCAACGTTTGTAGTTAAGGTTTGATGTCAAGAATTCTAGGTCCTCCAATATTTTCTTTCTCACATTTATTTTGGTTATTTGGCATCCTTACCAATTCAGTATTAGTTTTAGAATCAGGAATCCCACTTAGGCCAAAAAGGCTGTTGGGATTTTGCTGAGGACTGCATTACTCTTTGTATCACTCTGGAGAGGACTCCCATTTTACAGTCTTCCAATCCATAAACACACGATATCTTGACATTTATTTAGGTTTTCTTTAATATTCCCCAGCAACTTTGTAGTTTTCAGTGTGTATAAATCTTCCATTTACTTTCTTAAATTTACTCCCATTTGTTTCCTTGCTCATGTAAATGGAATTGTTTACTTAATTTCCAGTTGTTGATTGCTACTGTACAGAAATGCAACTGAATTTTGAGTGTTGATATTGTATTCTGTATTTCAATGAATTTATTATCACCGGTAGTTTGAGGATTCTTTATTTCTAAATATGAAATCGTGTCTTCTACAAATATAGTGCGATTTCTTTTCCAATTTTGACACATTTGACTTATTTTTCCTCTGTATTTTCTCTGATTAGAAGTTCCAGTACAGTGTTGATATGCGGTGGCAAAATGGGCACACTTGTTTTGTTCTTGGTATTAGGGGGAAGTTTTCAGTTGTTCACCAGTATGATGTTAGCTATGGAATTTTAATAATACCCTTTTTTAGACTGAGGAAGTTCCCTTCTGCTTCTAATTTTTGAGTTTCTGTTGGATGCAGTATTCTGTATATGTCCACTGAATCTAGCTGGTTTACACACAGTCCTCTATCATTGATGTCTGGTTGTTCTATCCATTATTAACAGGGAGCACTGAGGTCTCCAGCTAGTATACTAGAACTATCTCCTCCATTTTGCTTCAAAACACTGGGGGCTTTGTTGTTATGTACATATTGTTTATAGTTGTTTTATCTTCTTGATGGATTGGCTCTTTTTTCAATACATAATGTTCTTCAATATCTTTGGTAACAGTTTTACAACTTAAAAGCTATTTCATCTGATATTTGTATAGGTACCCAACTAAGTTTCATTACTATCTGCATGGAAAATCTTTTTCCACCTTCACTTTGAATCTATCTGTGTATCTCAATTGAGGCTTGGGGCACCTGGGTTGCTCAGTCAGTTAAACACATGATCTGGATTTTGGTCAGGTCATGATCTCACAGTTCATGAGTTCAAGCCCCGCATTGGACTCTGGCTGACAGTGGGAAGCCTGCTTGAGATTCTGTCTCCCTCCCTCTCCCCCACTCAAGCTCTCTAAATAAAGAGTTTTAAAAAACAGAGTGAGCCTTTTATAGACATAGAGTGGAATCATTTTTAAAAACTAATTCCTTGGGGCACCTGGGTAATTCAGTCGGTTAAACATCTAACTTCGGTTCAGATCATGATCTCAGTTTGTGAGTTTGAGCCCTGCATCAGGTTCTGTGCTGACAGCTCAGAACCTGGAGACTGCTTTGGATTTTGTGTCTCCCTCTCTCTCTGCCCCTCCCCCACTCATGCTATGTCTGTCTCTCAAAAATAAACAAACATTTTAAAACATTAAAAAAAATAATTCCTTTATCTTTTATTGAAGAGTTTAATCTGTATACATTTCAAGTTACTACTGATAAGAATTACTTCTAACATCTGTTGTTTGTATATCTAATATTTTCTTTCATAATTCCTCCTCTTGTAGGTGTCTATGTGGGTGCATACTATTTTGATTGCCTTTATGTTCATTTTTCTATTTTCAAGTTATTTTCTTTTTTTAAAAAAATTTTTTTTCAACGTTTTTAATTTTATTTTTGGGACAGAGAGAGACAGAGCATGAACGGGGGAGGGGCAGAAAGAGAGGGAGACACAGAACCAGAAACAGGCTCCAGGCTCCGAGCCATCAGCCCAGAGCCCGACGCCGGGCTCGAACTCACGGACTGCGAGATCGTGACCTGGCCGAAGTCGGACGCTTAACCGACTGCACCACCCAGGCGCCCCTCAAGTTATTTTCAGCGTGGTTATCCTGGGGATTATAGTTTACATGTTAAACTAATAATATTTGAATTTCAGTTGATACTAATTTACCTTTAATAGCATAGAAACAACTGTTGTTATACAGTCACCCTTCATGTTCTTACTGTCAAAAATTATTTGTAAGAGATGTGAACAGATGTTTTATACACTCAAGAACAGATTTTTATTATTGTTTTACACAGTTGTCTTTTAAGACACATAGGAAAAACTAAGTTAGAAAACAAAAATATTATAATACTGGCTTTTATATTTACTTATGTAGCTACCTTTACTAGGTTTCATCCATTTCAGCCTGAGGAACTCCATTTGGTATTTCATGTAGGCTAAGTCTGTAAGTGTGAACTCCCTCAGCTTTTGTTCCTCTAGGAGTCTCTTAATATCACTATCAATTTTGAAGTATAGTTAGCCTCATAAGGAATTCCTGACAGGTTTTTTTTTTTAATCTTTCAAACTTTTAATACCACAGGAGACTGCTTCTTGGCCTCCACAGTTTCTGAAGAGAAATAGGCTGTTAAACTTATTGAGAAGCCCAGTACATGAGAAGTTGTTTCTGTCTTGCTACGTTCCGCATTCACTCCTTTGTCTTATAAAAGTTGACTGATTATGTGCTTCCCAGGGATCTCCATGCATCTGTCATAGCTGAAGTTCATTGAGTTTTTGGATGTGTAGGTTGTTTTTGATAAATTTGTCATGTTTTCAACTCTTATTTCTTCAAATATTCTTTCTGTCCTTTCTTCTTTATCCTTTCCTTCTGGGATTCCTACTACGTGTATATCAGTATTCTTAATAGTGGTTTCTTAGTCTCTGTTCATTTTTCTTTTTTTTTTTCCCTTTTATTCTGCTTTTGTCCCCTTTCTTCTGTTCACACTTGATAATTTCAGTTAACCTATGTTTAGGTTCACAGATTCTTTATTCTTATTGTCTATCTGTTGATGAACTCTCTAGTGGATTCTCAATTTTGGTGTTTATACTTTTTTAACTCCAGAATTTCTATTCCATCCCTTTACTATAATTTCTATCTCTTTATTGACATTTTCTACTTGTTGAAACACTGTTCTACTTCTTCCATGTTTTCATTTACCTGAGGATGTTCAAGACAGTTGGTTTAAAATCTTTATTTACTAAGTGGAATGTCTGTGCCTCCTCAGAAAGACCATCATTAATCTGGTTAATCACGGTAAAGATGTACAATCTTAAGATATCCTTAGATATCTGTCGTGAAGTCAGCCTGGTAGAAGCAGCCACCATGGCATTCTTTGAAACAGTAAGAAATTGTAAAGGACTCATGTATCTTCATTTAGAGAATGTTCCAATGAGGATCTAAAAAAGCAGTTATCTCTGTTTCCTAACATGAAAACAACTTCAAGACATATGGTATGTAAATATTTCAATTTGTAGAATAAAATATGATGATTAAACATTTACTGGAGAATATATTCTAAAATCTCATTACAACATATAAATGCATTTTTAGAAGATTTGCACTAAAGAGGACATCAGTTCCCAATGAAGACAATCCGTGATGATGGAAGATATGACAGGCAAGGGGATATTTACTTCTTAGTTTCTAAACTGCATCACTCTGTGGAACTGAACCACAAAAATACATACTAGAAGGATTGAATACAAAAAAATAAAAAATAAAAAATAATATTTAACAATTAGTAAAATGAAAATTTAGCACCAGCCTCCCTGATGACAGAAGGTTCTGCAGCTATGGCTGGCTAAATTAAACATTTCTATCTAAAAAATGTGTAGTGTAACATTTCCTAAATGAACACCATGGTCTGTATGAGATGGATGTGCTATAAATAATATGTGGCGCCTGGGTGGCTCAGTTGGTTGAGCAGCTGACTTGGGCTCAGGTCATGATCTCACAGTTCATGAGTTCAAGCCCAACATCAGGGTTGCTGCTGTCAGCACAGAGCCCACTTCAGATCCCCCGTCCTCTTCTCTCTCTCTGCTCACCCCTGCTCTCTCGCCCTCAAAAATAAACATTAGAAGAATAAAAAATAAAAAAATACTAATTTAAAGAACACTTACTGTTACACAAGCAGGTTGATTCTACACTTTAAAACCAATTATGTTAATAAAATAAAACACTCTCTGTATTCCTTATTCCTACATTGAACTTCCCACTCTATTCCAAAGAATTAATACTTTGGAGTCAGAAGCACAAGGACTCCCTTCTTTAACGTCAAAAGGCATTTGTAAAATAAGACAAAGCAAATCTACCCTGTCAGTCTTACTTTCCAGGGTTTCTCAGGTACTTGTGCACATTAATATGTAATCTCTTTAATCCTGGTTTATATGAGCTGAAAACGATCCAGAAGGGGTCTCTGAAGAATCCTTACTGCCCAACTCCAAGGACACCACAAAGCCTACTCCCATTTTCTAGTCCTTGCCTATGTAGAAAATCCTTCACAGGATTACCACCTAAAATGAGCCTTTTCATTAAGTTCTATGTCACTGGGTCACAGTGAGATGGAATCTGCATGGAGATGACAGGAGAGTGGGAGAAGGCCCTGGGTGTGAGTAAACATCATAGGCAGGATACCTTGGAGACGAAGAAGATTAACAAGTCCAAAATGTGACATTTTAGGAAGAACAATCAATGCAAAATATGACTTTTACCTGGAAAAGAGCCATTCCTCCTTTTTTCCCTCTTCTGGTCTTCTTTCTCAGGTAAGGTTATACTGCGTGACAAAAAGTTATGTTGCTTAATGTTTAGAATCATCATAACCCCTTCTTCTGCCATAACATACATATAGGGAGAACCTCACTATGGAAGAAAGATCGTCCTTTGCTGCCAACTGCAACAGGAGGGATACAGGGATAATAAACTCCTATATGGAGTCTCCAAGTGCATTTTCACCCATTTCTTCAGAAAGCCCTCCCCTCCTGCTGAAACCTACATACTCTACTGCAACTGAATTGTCCTCTGTCTACCTGACACTGAGCCAAAGGGAGGTGCCTCATTCAAGTTCTTGGCTCCTCCTTAGGCAACCAACATGCAATGAATGGTTGATGCAGGACACAGAATCCTGTCCATTCCATCAATTTAGAACAATTCTTAAAGGCCACCCCAGGTCCAGAGCTCCCTGGTAGCCATACGGAGAGTTTAGATCTTTGTCCTGCTGGTGATGGCAAGCTGTAAGAAGGTTTAATGTCAAAAGACGAGATGATCAAATTTTTAAGATTTAGCTAGGATACACAGAAAGAGGGTGAAGCTGACAGAGGCGTGCCTCTGTCTCTAAGACTATGCTCCTTCCTCTTTCTTAGTGGTTTTCATTATTTTTGGAACTGGGTCACATTGTAAAGTCTAATGATAACTGCACACCCTCTCCCAGAAAACTGCCAAAGACAAACACACACCCAATCATTTCAGGGATCTTATTAGCTCATGTTCAGAATTCTTGGTCTATCGACTCATGTTAAAGGTGGGTGCCCTGGGGATCACAGGAAGAGTTACTTTACCAAGTTACCCTTAAGTCTGAGTGGAGTGAGCAGAACTGGGTATAAGTAAATTCTGAAATAGTGGCCTTGACATGTTTAAGTGGAAAGGGCTTGTCCTAATTCCAGATCATAACCTTTCATATTCCTCAAACAAGAGAAGCTTCTCTTTCATGGGTGTAATCAAACCCAAGCATGTAATTCCTTTTTTCAGAACAACTATATTAAATTACAAATAGCAACTAGTCCTGGAAAACATGAAAAAGGGTCACCTGTGGAGATGAGGTCTGAGCAGTCTCTGCATCATGAACGGATGGGCTCTGCTGGAACAAAGTTCCACATCAATCCAGCCCATCCATCAACATCTGTACTGAAAAGGCAAAGGGGACTTGAGGAGAACATCTACTAGTTGGAGACTTCAGCTCAGAACTCGGTAATGTAAAAGATAACAAGAGAAGAAGAGAACTGTTGAGTATTAAATTAACTGACTAAACTAGATTTTGAATGTTAAAAGATCAACATGCTTAACGCCTGTGTAATGAAATACTATAAAGTTATTTACCAGACATCAAAGAATAGTTCCAACATACGATAGACGGCCAAAGGCAGTGGGCCTGGGGCCCGTACTTGCCTCTGAGCGATTTTAACCGGAAAGGAACGCAGACACTCGGTACCCGAACCAAGCGACAGGGCTCGGAAAGTCTTATGGACACAAGGCGAGAAGCAAAAGGAACGAACTTCCGGCGAGAGGGACGAGTGGGTTCCAGGATTTTACCTTACCAGGTGACCCCGAAACCTGGGTGTGGAGGAGGGATTTGATGAGCGCGACCGCTGGTAAGAACCAGAAAAACGGAGACTCACTCACCCGAGCGTGCCCGTTGCTCCGCGCCATCCGCTTCCGGGTCTCTAGAAAAGCGCGCGTGCGCGTGCGTCGTGGGGCGGAGCGGAGGCGGGTCGAGGACGCGACGGTTGGGAGCTGGGGCTTGAGTCACTGGATCCCGGCCTGCGCACCGTCCCTTTCCCTGCGTCTGGCAGTCTGTTTGTCCTTTCTCCCCGGCGGTTTCGAGCTCTGCTTTTGGATTCCTTCCAATCCCGCTGGTGTCGTTTGGAGCCAGGCTGGGTACAACGTTAGGGAAGGGTGGGCCGCTTCTGTTGGGAGCAGTGGTATTTGACAGGTTGAGCACGGTGCCCAGGGAAACATTTGTAGCGACAGGTGGAGACGTGCGGCCAGCGAGGGAGGCGTAGCAGCACGGGGACCTGGGGCCGGAGGTCCTCGTGGGTCGACTGAGACCTGGACATGACAGCTCCTTGTTTAATGAGGCAAAAAGCCGGGGTGGTCAGTGTCGGTGGTGGACGCTAGAATGCGAAATGCAAAACTCTTCTGTGGCGAATGTGCAATTTGGTACTAACCCCCCATCAGAGCTTTTCACTGAATTGTCACTTCTGCTCCCCATTCGCTGGACTGCGTTCCCTGGCGTTCCCCTCCAGGCCCTGGGCTGTGGGGGCGGAGGGCTGGCACGTTGGTTTAAAGGAACAAACATTTCTGCCTCTATGAGTGTTCATCAATTTTTCTCTCTTTAAATTTGATATTCGAATCCACACCTCTCGAGATGAACTATAAATCCAAACGCCTTTGAGACCTACCAGATGGTACCTGCATTTTGCTTAAGTCCTTAATTGCCAAATATCATTGCAATTTCAATTTTTAAAAATCTTTGTTCTCAGTTATTTTGGAAGACTACTTCATACTTGAAAATTAGATTTTTAAAAACAGTTTATTGAGAGAGAGAGAAGCAAGTCTTATGAGGAATTTAACCATGTTTTAATTATTTTTTTACCCTATAGACTCCTCCTTTGTTTGAGCTTTATTTTTCTGTAGGATGTAAAGAAAAGACCATTTATGGACATTTTGATAGGAATTCCCATTTCCCAAATACCAAGCATTAATGATGTCATCCCCACTTTAGTTTTTACTGGTTATTAACTTTTCTTGTGCACTTTGACATACTTCTGAATTTTTAACTTCACTGATACAATACCCTGCTCATAAATAAACATCTCAGGAGGATAACCATACTCGGGTTTTTTTGTTTTGTCTTGTTTTGTTTAGAGTTTTTGTGGCTATTCTTATTTGTCCACTATTCTGTAAGGTTTTTGCAATAACACTGCTAGTTTGAAAAACTAACTGATGGTATCTATATCAGGATCCAATTAAATTTATAAATTGGCTTAAGGAGAATTGACCTTTTTATAATGAGTTTTTCTACCCAAGAACATTATATAAATTTACATTCATTTACTTCTACTTTCATATATTTCAGGAATGTTTTATTTTTTTCCTACATATTGGCTTTACACATTGTTGTTAGGTTCATTCCTGGTCAGTTTATTTCATTTTATTTTTTTAAAGCTATTTATTTCATGAGCCCTTTTTCTTTTTTCTTTTTCTTTTTTTGTATATCAATATTATATCCTATTAGCTTACTGAATTATTTTTCATAGTGATTTTACTCGCATATCTACAGCCAACTCTGTGCTCATACTGATGTCCCTGACTTTGACCCCATACTTCAGGGTGCATTTTAGCCTTTCCCCCTTGCTTTTCTGTCCCTATCTGTATTTACCAAGTACTATGGCATCATATGCCTTTGAAGAGTTTTCCATCTATTCCTCCGCTCTCCCATGCTCTCTGCACACTGCTTATAACCCCCTCCCTCTGGCCTCATTTGGACCCTGCTCTAACACACCTGCAACCTTCCAACTCGGCCCCATTCTCCTGGACCTGCAGTGGCAATCCTCACAGCAGTTTAAGACATTTCACGTGGTAAATATCATCTTTGGGGTTGTTGTAGGGATGGAAGAAGTAAAAGAGGTGGAAAGTGCCTCTGTTGTCTGGCATCCAAGGTCAGGAGATGCCTGTATTCTTCCAACATATGAGCACATTGTCGAGATACACATGTGCATGCAGGCCCTTTGAATGTAATCACACGGGACTGGGAATGTGGGAGTACAGGCGAGTGTGTAAATGTGTGTGCTTGTGTTTGATGAGCATGTGCATGAGTGTGAGTTTGCTATGGAGTGTATGAGGGTGTGATTGTGTGAGGGTATATGGCCGTGCATTTGAGTATTATGTTGTGCATATGCACATGTGTTTGCATCTATGTGTAATGTGTATGTATTTGTATTTGTGAACTAAGGATTGTCCACCATTATGGTTCTAATGTCTGACTTAGACATGGGGAGTATTTGATTGTGTATTTATGGTAGGGAAAACAAAGGATTAGTTTGAACTCATGTTTCTTAATAATAAAGTCAATTAGGGGCGCCTGGGTGGTTCAGTCGGCTAAGCGTCGGACTTGGGCTCAGGTCCTGATCTCATGGTTTGTGAGTTCAAGCCCCGCATCGGGCTCTGTGCTGACGATTCAGAGAGTGGAGCCTGCTTGGGATTCTGTGTCTCCTTTTCTCTCTGCACCTCCCCCAATTTGTGCTCTGTCTCTCAAAAATAAATAAATGTAAAAAAAAATTTTTTTAATAATAAAGGCAATTAGAGCTGATGACTGAAAACTCAGCAAAAATATAGGTGTGGAAAGATATAACCACCAAATGCTATTTAAATGAGTATTGGGGCCCCTGGGTGGCTCAGTTGGTTAAACCTCCGACTCTGGATTTTGGCTCAGGACCTGATCTCACATTTGGTGATACTCAGCACTGTGTCGGGCTCTGCACTGACAGTCCGGACCTGCTTGGGATTCTCTCTCTACCTCTCTCTCTGCCCCCCTCCCCCATTATACTCTATCTCTCTCTCTTTTTCTCTCAAAATAAATTTAAACATCTTAAAAATTAATTTAAATGAGTATTGGCTTATCTGAGCATTAAAGGAATTATTGAATCTGCCCATTTCATCATCTGATCCTGGTGCTTTTATTTGTGAGGGTCTCAGAAACTTCTCCCTTTTTTGTAGATATTGTTCTGTTTAGACTTCCTGTTAACACTAGGGAGATCAAAATTGGTAAAGCATATCTTCCTAACAAATTTCCACGTCATGTACACTTCCAAATATATTGTCACTGAGTTGTGCAAATAATCCAGTGATCCCTGATGTAAATAATTGTTGGCATGTTCTTTGATTGTAACTCTGAAAATCCTTTGCATATACTTTGATTTCATTTCTATGCTTATAATTTATATGATAGGTCACCTTAGTGGTCTGAATATTAGAAACAACTCTATTTGGGGTAGAATTTCTCAAGAGAGCAGAGAATCCATTGAAATTCAAGTGTTTCCTCAACAGTCCCTCATCTATCAGACCTCAGCATTTCCTGCCCTCCTCTTGAACACTTGTCTACCTCCAGGGCTTGTGGAAAAGAAAGAGCTTCTCCCAAACACCTGAGAGATGCTAATTTGGAACTTATAATTCGTTTTTAGCAAGTAGAAACTGGGAGGAAGAAAAGCTTTTCAATATTCTCAGTTTCCCAAACCTGTGCTCTCACTGGAGTTCCGGATGAAATGATTATTTCTTCAGGAAGGGGAGGTTGCAGAATCATAAACCCAGACCTTAAGATCTGGCTGCCTCCCTCCTGCATGTACTGACTGCATGACCTTCACACTGAGCCAACTGTTCTAACAGGAAGGAGTGAGTGTATTTTTGATTTCCATTTAATAGGCAGAGTCTGCAATGAAAATAAGCTTTTTGTTTGTTAACATGCAGTTGTACTTTTCATTGGACCTTTACCTTATTATAGGATGTGAAAAGTAAATCAATTTCTTACCTTTGTGATAGTAATATCAAGTAATATCAACTACCAAACCCCAAGTATTAATGATGTCATCCCCAATTTCTTATTGTTTATTAGCCTCATATACTTTGGTCTATTTTTGAATTCTTATCTCTACTCATCTATCAGTCTTATTTAAGAAACATGTTTCATAGAGCTGCCTATCCATTTTTTCTTTTTTCTTTGGTTTTCAGAATACTTAAAAATGAGATCTACCCTATAATGGATTTTTAAAAATGTTTGTTTTTGAGAGAGAGGGGCAGAGCATGAGCTGCGGAGGGGCAGAGAGAGAGGGGGACAGAAGATCTGAAGTGGGCTCCTTGCTGACAGCAAAGAGCCCAATGCAGACTCAAATTCATGAACTATGAGATCATGACCTGAGCCAAAGTCAGACGCTTAACTAAGTCACCAGACGCACCCCTCTTTATTTTTTAATTTAAATTTTAGGGGCGCCTGGGTGGCGCAGTCGGTTAAGCGTCCGACTTCAGCCAGGTCACGATCTCGCGGTCCGTGAGTTCGAGCCCCGCGTCAGGCTCTGGGCTGATGGCTCAG